CTTACATGTACATAAAAAGTTATACCCTGTTTCAGATGATACCATCTACTTATAAGTACAAAACCTTAGATGTTGAGACAACATCTTCATAAACTGTTGTGTACAGAGGTATGGGTATGGTGGCCCACATGCTGCAAATAAAGTAAAGTTGCGGCAAATAAAATAAAGTTGCTGCAAAGGAAAAACAGTTGCGGCTGCAAATTAAATGCCAGGATAGTATGTGCACAAACTGATTTGAAATAAAGTGTTGACAGGCTAAACATAACTCATAAGCTTGTGGACCTCGTGATAGGGTAAAACATGACCCTAGAGTTACTTTTTTCCTTCTTTTCTTTCTTTCACCAAGGTTATGTAGTGCATACAGTATTCTAAACTCTGACTGAGAAAATCTTACTTTTGCTGCCCTGAGTCTAACATTTAGATTTCATGAAGCTTTCCCTTTCATGCATATAGTGTAGTTACTTCCCGTGGTTTGTTTCGGACAGGAATGGACCTCTGATTTTCTTTGAGTACTTTGACCGCTGTTAAAGCCTAAAGACCGCCCCCCCCCCCACTCCCCTCAGTAAAAATCGGAGAAGAAGCGTCAGTGATTCACTGTTGATAATCGTGTATGGAGGCCATGTGATTTTTCCTGGAATGTGTGGAAAATGATTTGATTGGCTGTTATTCGTAGATCACTACATCATGTAATTGAGGGATTTTGATTGGCTTTAGGACCCGTTGTCAAAACATAGCAGGTAACCAGAAAATTATTACCTTTACGGACAACTACACTCATGTAGCTTTTCAGAACCTCGGATTTCGGAGAAAAGAAAAGAAACTGAAATCTTTATTGAAAGGTTTTTGAGTTGACTAAAAGGCTTTAGGCTTCAAAGCAGTCAAAGAAAAACCAGTTCTAATATAAACGGCATCCAAGATCAAATTCTGTCACAAACACCTACAGAAACAATAACAAAAAACTACAGGAAATAATAATTTACTGTACATGAGACATATACTAGCTTCTAAATGCTAGAATGAAAGGAAAAAAACAAGACTTGTTTAGTCAAAGTCTACGGTACTCCATGCACTAAGACACATTATCTATGCACTAAAAAGAAAAGAAGGAAAATTTTTGTTGCCAAAGAAACACTAAGGTCACGTTTCACACTATCACGAGCTCATGAGTCATGTCTGACTTGTCAACACTTTATTTCAAAATAATGACTTTCCGTATCCAGTGGGAAGGCTTTCATAAGAACATGGATCTTTTCCTTCAATATGGGCTTGTAAGAACATTTTTCTTGCTTGGTGTAGAGTGAACCGATTTTAAAAACGTCTCACTCTCTCAGTTGCTTGATGGAAATAAGATGCATGCACCAACATTTTGAGAACTGGAATGACATGAAACATGAGCCACGGAAATTTTGGTTGGCGGAAACTATTTTTTAAATATATGCAAAGTTATTCCCATCCACGATTACCAAAGGTGAATCACAGACACACCTTCTCCGAGTTTTCCTGAGGGGAGGGGGATCTGTACACAGGCTAGAACTCTAGGGTCATGTTTTAAACCATCACAAGGTCCACAAGCTTATGAGTCGTGTCAACACTTTTAAGTGTATTTCAGATCAGTGTGTCAAAACTTTCCTGTCATTTTACAGGGCTGAAAATAATGAACAGCAGGTTGCCGGTCATGATGACCGGCCAAATATTTTTTAGCCCGAACAAACCCCGATTCTGGCCGTCAAATAATGAATACTAATAATTTTTTTTTGCCTAAGGAATAAGCAATTATGCTGGCAATAGATCGTTATTACTACATTGACGTTCACATTTTTGACAGCAAATTGGTGAAAAATGCATTTGCACGTTGTAGAGTTCCTTTCCGCGGTTTTTGCGCGTTTTAATGTTACGTTCTACCTTGAGTATCATTGCATGGCGGTGTCTCAAGTCTCTACAGGTAAAAAGTGAAGCGTAAATCCTTTTCAAACTCCAAGGGTTCAGGAAACGGAATACACATACAGTTCAGCAAACTTTAGAAATTACGAAAAAAAAAAAAAATTGGGTTATTTTACAAAATCTGCACATGCTTGTTTTACGCTGATGTTCCAAAATGAACATCGGTGAAACTTGATCTTTTTCCTTGCCTGGCACGTGATCAAAAGTCACTTCCTTAAAGAAGAATCGTAGCTGATATTTTCAGCAAAGAAGTTGATTTGTATTGGCGAGAAGTTTGTTCCACAAACAGCGTGTTGATGATCAGAAGTCAATAAATAAATTTGGGTCATCGCACAACATTTTATCGCGAAGGGCTCAAATGTCAACAGAAATTTGCATAAAGTTGTTTACAAGAACGAGAATCAAGCGCCGCGATAGACGACGACCTTCCCTCTTGAGTAGCTTAAGTTTTTATCAGACCATTCTGGAATCGAGTCTGCAAACGAGATTCATGTTAAGAAATTATTATTAATCGATGCACTAACATTTATTCCTGGAGAAACACAGGACGACCTGTTGAGAATTGCGATCGATTTGCCTGAATTCCTTTGAATTCCCAAAGAAGGTCACATTTCTGATTACAGCAAAGCCGAAAGTACAGTACGACTAGCAATGTTGCGTTATTTTCCAACTCAGTTTGTTATTCACTTTGTTGCGTTAGATTACGACATGACGACATGAAATTAATTTATTACGGCGTTCTTTTTCTTAGAAGGGTTTAGTGCAAAGCAGCAAAAAACGCCAAAGAAAAAAGAAATCATTGCAGCGTTATAGAGCATTAAGTGACAACTGTATGGAAAATAAAGTGTTTGTATCCAAAAATGACCGGTTAAAATGACCGGCGAGACCGGAGTTTGTCCGGTCAAGTCCGCGATCAGGCCGGACATTGTCCGCTGACCGGCCGTTATTTGCAGCCCTGAAATTTTATTTGCAGCAACTCATCTTACTTGCAGCGACTTTTTTTTTTTGCAGCATGTCCCCTGTGGGCCACTGTATGAGGTTAAAATAGATTCAGTCTAGCTGTAGTTGAGAGAATTTGACAAAAGACCAAAGACAAGACATGCCCTTAAAAATGGTACAGTTTCCATCTTATGTAAGCTGTGTCTTATCTTTCCTCATATAAAATTAATG